CCATACTGCTTGGGTAGCACAACTGGTGGCTGCATTATACTCTACTTTAGTGATAAAAAGTGTAACAACTTGTTTCTTCGAAGACTAGTAAAAAATTCCTGAACCAATTTGAAAATAATACCCATAAGTACTTTTTATTTTTTCCACATCACCTCCCCAATCACTGTTTGTATACCCCACAAGTCCACAAGTACTAGTAGGAGAATAAAAAATAGCATCACTTTGGGTACCTTTAACGACCTCAAAATCCTTTTAGCTTCTTGTAAGTGGGATTGATGTGGAAAATCCATGTACCTGCTGATAAGTCCAACTCCAAAAATAATATCAGGTCTAGTAGAAGTCAAATAACATAAACTTCCCACCACCCGTTTGAAATATGTGGGATTCACCAACTCACAATTCCCATCTTTACCCAATTTCAACCTTTCTTCAAATTGAGTCAAAATAGGATTACAAGAATCCATTCTGAATCTTTTAAGGATATCCTCAGCATACTTCTATTGGAAAATAAAAAATTCACTATCTTTTTAATTAACCTCAATCCCAATAAAATAGGACATCAAACCCATTTCAGTCATCTCAAACTGAGAAATCATTGCCTCCCTAAATTTCTCTATTAACTTTATATTATTCCATATGAAAATAAGATCATCCACATACAAACACATGATAATAAATATATCCCTGAGAATTAGTTTTGACATACAAAGTATGTTCATAGGGACATCTGTGAAAACTATTCTCAACAAACTAAGGATCAATCTGAGTATACTAAGCTCTAAAGGCTTCTTTAAGCCCATACAAAGCCTTTTTCAACTTATAAAATTTGTTTTGCTCCCCTCTATTCACAAAATCAGTAGGCTGCTTAGCATAAACTTCTTCCTCAAGGACACCATTCAAGAAAGCAGATTTCACATCCATTTGAAATATCTACAAGAATTATTAGCCGTAAGAAAAATAATCATATGAACAGTATCAAGTCTAGCAACAGGTGCAAAAACCTCAAGATAATCAATATCTGATTTTTGTTTGTAACCCTTGGCTACTAACCTCGCTTTAAAGCAATTCACCTCTCCGTTTGGCTTGTATTTAGTCTTGTACACCCATTTAACTCCAATAGATTTATTTCCCTTGGGAAGCGAAGTAAGCTCACAAGTATTATCTTTCTCAATGGCATGAATTTCTTCATCCATTGCATTCACCCAATGTTTCTCCCTACAGGCGTCACTAAAAGAAACAGGATCACAATCTGTATATAAAACAAAATTTACCAAATCATCATTTGAAGGATCATTAACAGTGCCAATCACATAATCAACCATCTAGTTGGCATGTGTCGTTCATGCTATGAACGCCCAGATGATTATGGTTTGGGAGATTGAACAGCTAGAGATTTTTCAACGGGCTAATCACCAACTGAATTATCAACATCAAAAGGAGCAAGTGTGGCTGACTTGTCTTCCTTTTGGGACCAATTCCAATCACCTTGCTCATCAAAAGTGGCATCCCTACTAATAATCATTTTTCCTATAGTGGGATTATAAAGCTTGTACCCTTTTATAACTAAATGGTACCCAATAAAAATACATTTTTCAACTTTGTCCTCAAGCTTTTTTCTAATTGGATCAAGAACATGGGCATAGGCAATACAACCAAAGACCCGCAAATGCTGAATACCTAGATTTTGACCACTCCAAATCTCATATGGAGTTTTTCCCTTGAAACTTCTAGCAGGGAACCTGTTCAAAATGTAAACAGCACAAGCAATAGCTTTTGCTCAAAAAAATTTAGGCATATTTTTAGATTTCAACATGCATATAACCATATCCATAATAATTTTATTTTTCCTCTCTGTCATACCATTCTGTTGGGGAGTATACCTGACTGTCAACTAATGCTTAATACCATGATTTCTCAAAAAATCATCACAAACCATATATTCCTAACATTTGTCAGTCCTCAAAACTTTAATTTTTCAGCCACACTATCTTTCAACATAAGTCTTAATGTATTACATGCATTAGATTTATTTTTCAAAATATACACCTGGTCTTCTCGCTAAAATCATCAATAAAGATAATAAAATTCCTACTTTCACCATTGGAAGGAACGTCAATAGAGCATAAATCAGAGTGAATCAACTCAAGGGTTCTTCTTTATTGCCAAGCTTGTTTATCAAGAAAAGGGACTTCATGTTTTTTTCCCAAAACACAAGTCTCACAAACTTGATTAGGAATATTAATAGTAGGCAAACCAAAAACCAATTTTTTCCAAGCAAAAAATTTAAATTATGAAAATTTACATGCCCAAACCACATATGCCATAATCAATTATCACCAAAAATTTCAAAACTAAATTAAGGTAAATTTTGATAATTAATTTGTAAAGGGAACAAATGATTGGGTGTCATATTTACTTTTGTTGTTAGTCCACTGTGACTGATTGTACAAACACCATTAAAAATTTTCATATTATATCCCTTTTCTGACAACTGTCTCGTACTAAACAAATTGTGGCCAAGACTAGAAACATAATAAGCATCTGAAATAGAATTCAAAGACCTATCTTTTAACTTGATGGAAATTTTATATTTTCCCTTTATGGGGTTGGTTGAAGCATTCCCAAATTTAATGTCTGACTGAACAGACTCATCCAAAACAATGGACATCCCCCTATAACCACACATGTGATTACTGCAACTTGAATCTAGATACCACTTGTTCTTTTAAACATCATCCACCACACTATCAGCCAAAAATAAAGCTTCTGAATTATCATTATTGTCCTCTACAATTTTAGAATGATAATTCCTATTATTGGGTCTTCTTAATCTAAAGCACTCCCTTTTATAGTGCTCTAATTTTCTACAATTGTGACACTTGATTTTTGATTTATCACGTTGTTCACCCCAATTATTATATTTGTATGTTTCTCCATCAAATCTGTTTTGCCACGTACCATGGTTATTTGAATGCTGATACCTCTTATTTGATTGGGATTTGTTATGGGACTTATCCTTCTCCTTCTTGAAACTTGTCTGAGTCTGTAAGGTATCTTCTCCTAAAATCTATCTTTTCATTCAATCTTTGTTCATGGGCTTGCAGAGAACTCATCAACTGTCAAGGAATCAAGATCATTTAACTTCATGATAGTTGTAACAATATATTTGAACCTCATTGATAAGATCCGAAGAATTTTCTCCATAACCTGGAGATTCTTCACATCCTTGCAGTTGGCTCTCATCTGATTGGCAATAACCAACGTCTGCAAAAAATAATCAACTATACTCTCTGATTTTTCTATCTAAAAATGCTTAAACTGTCTTCGTAGGGTCTACAATCGAACTTTTTTGACCTTATCTTGTCCAATTTAACAATTGATCAAGACATCTCATACCGCCTTTGTCGTCGAAATATGACCAATCTTGTCATAAATTGATGAATCAATTGCTCCATAAATATACATCAACGCTCTGCTATCTTTCTTTCGATTATTTGTCAATTAACCCTTTTGGCTTTTGTGTGTATTTCTAGATCTCCAAGATCTGTGAACCCGTTTATCACAATATTTAAAAAATCCATAATCTTGAAAAAAAACTCCATCTGTGTTTTCCAATGTTGAAAATTTGACATCCCATCAAGTTTTCCAACCAGACATTGAATAAACTCGGTCATGTTTGTCATCTCTGAAATTGACTCTAATACTAGATGTAGGATTTTAAAATAATATTAAGTACTCAAAATAATCTCACACCAAGAATAAATAATCAAGAAACAAATAAATAAGAAGGCAACCCAAAGAGAAACAAAAAGAAGATATCGAAGGCTTGCGGCTAACAAAAAACCTCTATAAAGCTACTGCTGAAATTTTTTTAACCCAAAAGCTTTTGCCATTACTTCTTACAATTATAAGTAAAGGGTTTTAAATATTACAGATATCTAACTAATTAAAAAACTAATAAACCAATCATATGATAACTTTAATTAAACTACATCAAATTACTAGAACATTTTATGGGTCAAAACTCTTAAACTCATTGAAATTTTAATTAAAAACTAATACCAAATAAATAAAGAATAAAATACTTGGAGAATTTGGGTCAAACTCCAACATGACCCACCAACTGCCGCCGTCGCTGCCACCAACCATCATTACCCACCACTCACAGTAGTAAAAAATTAACCACCCAAAACAATAAAAAATTAACCTACCACGCAAAACAGTAATAAATTAACCCACCACCCAAAACAGTAAAAAAACTAACCCATCACCCATCATCGTTGCTAACCACCTCCATCCACCACCCAAATCAGTAAAAAAACTAACCCACCATACAAAATAGTAAAAAACTAACCAACCATCCAACATTGCCAACCACCACCCCCCACCATAATCCACCACTACTCACTCATCACGAGCCACCAAACGTCGCAACCCACCACCACGCATCATCACGGCCACCAACCATCGCCACCACCCAAAATAGTAAAAAATTAGTCAAAATCAAAAATAATAAAAAATTAGTGAACTAAAAAATAGTGAAAATAGTGAACTCAAAAATATTGAAAAATTACTAAACTAAAATGCAGTAAAAAATTAGTGAACACCAAAACAATGAAAAATTACTGAACTCAAAATTTAGGACTCTAGGCAAGCACCTTAGTTGTCTATGCTTAGAGTCAGCACTAATTGAAAGCCACTATATATTCAATAATTATGATTGATCAAGTCAACGATCATATAAATATTAGCAATAGGAAAGAACCAGACGTAGAATAATAAAACAACTGAGAATTTAGGAAAGAAAAGGTCATCCACTCCCCATCCCCACCACTTGTTTGATATATTGTTGGAACTTGAAACAGTGTCCACAAAGGGCACGACCTACAAGATTTTGGCTTTCGTGGTACTAAGGTTAGAAACATAAACATCGATCGAGTTGATTTTACGATTGAAAAGATAGAAGAATGATTGAAACACCTCTGATTTGCATTCAGATCTTAGCTATGAGTTACTCCTCCACCGTTCATCAATCTTATATCCTCAATCAGACAGTCCAAGTTATAGTATGAGGACCCACCTTCACTCACAGCCCTTTTCGCCAACTTTGCCTTTTCATCTGCTGATCTCTTGAATTCATCCCTCCTCACCTCCATCAGATCATTGATCATCTTCTCAACTATGACTCTATCACAAGTGTCGTTCATGTCCACCCCAAGATTCCAAACTTCCCCCACAAACCTACTATTCACCTGCTGGTCAGCAAAGTATGGCCAGCAAATCATTGGCACACCCTCAAATATGCTTTCCAAAGTAGAGTTCCAACCAGTATGAGTCTAGAAACCATCAATGGATGGGTGGGCCAGGACTTCCTCTTCTAGGACCCAACTCACCATGTACCTCCTCTCCTTCGTACCCTCCTCTAGCTCTGTCGAAATATGATGTCCTCTATATTTTCCACCAACGGAGTCTGGCTGCATGACCCACAAGAATTGTTTCCCACCATTCACCAAACCGTGCCATAACTCACCAAATCGATGTGTGTGTGTGTGTGAGAGAGAGAGAGAGAGAGAGAAGAAAGAATGAGATCGCTCATGCGATTTTTTTGGACCGCCTTGATTCCATTTTCATCCGATTCAATGGCGGCTTCCATTCTACCAGTTTCGACACCGATTGGGTTAAGAGGTGATTTCTTGAAGCTCTCGGTGGCATTAGAAGATCTGGGGTTGATCAGTTGGGTTTGGGCTTTGTTCTGCCGATTAAGACCATTAGAATCGACAACTTTGGATGGCGACGATCACTGGAGTTTTGACCAGTGGAGTTGTTGACTTTCATGCAACGGAGGAATCTCTAGTGGCGCCATTTCAAGCGGAGCAATGTGAAGTTGTGAAGAAGTCTCAATCTATCTGATGGCATAGCTATCACAACAACTTCTCTGGTTGCTTTGTTTTCTCCTTGTATAACTTAGCTATTGTGATGTGAGATAGAGATACAGAGAGAGGGGAGCATGATTCTAGAGCTCAAGAATTGAGCTCCCTTTCTCTAGACTTCAGATCTTTGGCTTTAATGGATTGTATTGTGGAGGGTGGCTATGGGAATATGCGTGCAAGAAAAATGAGAGAAGACGAGCTATAAAAGATATGTGGTTTGGGGGAATAGAGAGAGAGAGAGAGTGGGAAGGGGTGGTCTAGGGAATTTCCATTTTCTGTTCTGAAAATCGTTGGGGAGTGTTTATATGAGAGAAAGGAGTGAAGGAAGCCGACCCACGCAGACATAAGGTCAACAGGTTGAAGGAGAGGAACAACCGGTTGAAGTGCTTGATCAACCGATTGAAAGGTATTCAGTATCTTGCAAAATCCCTGATTAACTCTGATGAGCATTGGCAGAATTGCAATCTCTTGAACCAAAGTTCAACCGGTTGAAGCTTTTATGACATCCTGACCAACCGATACAAGTTCAATCGGTTGGTCTACCCTTTTTATGATTTCTTCCTTTTTGCTCCTCTACTTTAACTCCTCTTATCCTAATGATATCCCATGACCTTAAGTTTGCTTTCACATGTTTCCCTTCATCTCCTTTTGTACCTACAACCATAAACACACTCCATTATTCCAATTTCAACACAATTTAAAAGATTTAAACGTTAAACACATGTGAAACGAGGACGAATTAAGCTATGAAATGAAATATACAATGTTATACCCTCAACAGGTGCTCCGTTTTGTTCTCGTCAACAAGGGCAGATAGACATTGCATTCAGCAGCACCCTCTATCTGATGAAGGCTAAAGCCCTTGTGGATGAGTATTACTCTGCTTATGGATGTATATTTTGAGCAGCTTCACAAGTTGCAAGAATTGGGCAAGCCCTGGATCCGATGTAGAAGATGAATGTTCCTGCCTACGTACAATCACAAGATTTCCTTTGATTTATGCTTGGTATGTATATTCATTGGAGAATATTAGTCGGTATGTTTTACAATACAGTTTCTTGGCTTAGTTTCCACTTTAGATCCAGTTAAAAAGTAATTCCTTGGGAAGGACTGTTACTAGTTGAGGAAAATCTGTAAGAGTTTTACCCACTGTCCTTGGTCCTTGGTCCTTGGTCCTTGGTGGTTTGGGAGTGAAATCCAACCCTTGAGCAATTATGAAACTGCATGTCTCCTGTTAGAGTTTACATCGGATTCTTGATCAGTGTTGAAGGATTCAATTTGACCGATAAATCTGAGTTAATAGATATCCCCAGGTACCTGTCAAGCACAGGAAGAAAGGGGGAGCATGGTACATAGATTAGCTTTTAAGGGCCAAAGCACTGAATTTCCAATACAGATGTCACTAAGATTTCATGGGACTATCCATCTGTCTTCAGTTATCATATTCCCATCAGAGTTCATCATGGTTCGATTGTTCCATACTCTGTTCAAAGTACAGCTATCTTAGTCCAATGCATGTTATTGTTAAGTTTCAAAATCGAAAACTAGTTATTTTTGTGCGACTTTTGCTTGATGCGTTCATTACTTTTGTTTGTGGGTCTTATTATTTTCGAGCTTGGGACGTGTTCGGTTTGAATTGTATTATGGAACTGGCAAATTTGAGATGCCACTGGCAGGTTGTATATGGATACAATATTTGCTTTTGGGAAGTCGTAAAGTGTGTTTGTTAATCCAAACTCAATACTTAAAATGAAATTAATTAAATTCGTTTGATTACTAAATTTTTAATATTTTAGTATATTAAGTACTCCTTAAAAATAAGCAACAATATTAAGTAGGAGACTTTTACTTAATTCTAAAAGCTGAAGGCACTCAACAAAACTATCTTTAATAATATTTAAAATATGACAATTCTATCCGAAAATATTTTACGACTCTATTAAAACTCCAATTAGTCTTCTCTCCAAAACCTATTAACCTATTTATCCTCCTTACTGTCTTGATCGTCTTCTTGAATGAGCAGGTAAGTCTCCTTTCCTTGTCTTTTTCGAGTAATACTATTTGGATCAAAAAATTTGACTTAATTTGCTAAAATAATATGTGATTTCAGTAGAATCATTAGATTAACACTGAATTTCAATGTTTGATGGATCCTACAGTGAATCCAAAAGTTATAGTAAATTAGGTCAGCAAATTCAATCAATAAATTAAGTCCCAATAGTATTGCTCTATCTTCTGCCTTGTCTTCTTCCCTTGCCTTCTGCAACACACATATACATACACAATTACACACGCACACGCACACATACACACACAGTTACACACACATATATAGACAAATTTTTGCTTTCAATTGTTGTTAATGAAATCTAATTTATTCTATTTTTTTCAGTATTTTTCAATTATTTATTAGTTATTGTTCACTTATTGTGTTATTCAATTTGTTATTATTGTATTAGATAAAAGCATATTTTATAAATATTTTCAAAAATAAAGATTAGAAGAATAAAATTAAAAATTAATTTATTTTCAAACGTCAATTCGATATAGTTATCAAATTGTTTAGTTCAATTCAGTAATTAAATTTTAATGGATATCAAACAACCTACCAATTTAATATTTAATTTTTAATTTTCAAACTTTAACATTCAATTTTATCAAATACACCTTTGTATATGTCTAAATAACACTGATGAAATGTATAGAAACAGTCAACAAGAATTTGTGAGGCTCACCTAGGGCCAAAAATTTGATTTAAGGGTCGCCAATCCAACCCGGCCCAAGGCAAATGAAGTTCGACCCATTGCTCTTTAGTTCACTACTCAATGGGTCAACTCTGTTATGATCAGGTTTTTTGTTTTATCATTTAAATTTGGGTTAATTATAATTTATCCCGTTCAACTATGCCCCTTGTTATAATAAGCTCCTTTATAGGTTCAAATACTGTAATTTGTCCCCTCCAAGTTTCAAGTGGAATATCATTACACCCATCATCTTGTATATTATTTTTCATTTTTTTTTTGAGATATCAATTTTATTCCTAAAAGACAAAGAAATCAAAAAGTCAGCGCAAAAATTACTTCTATTCAATCCAACAACAACACACTACACAACACCATGTTTGACTTCATTTTTGCCTCCGCTTTGTTAGGGGGATGAGACAATTTCTACCGAAAAGATGAAGGAAATGAGTGTTAAGTGTCTAACAGAGGGAAGGATAAAAGGAATTTTTTTTTTTTTTGGAACAGAAAAAAAGGGAGAAGGAGTGACTAGAAAGTAGTAATTCCCCCTAGATGTGACCATAAAAGCCCCTCACTGTGAAATATTCGATTTGAGTCATAATTATTAAATCAAAAAGACAATCCGTCATTACAACACCACAAAAATCAAACAGTAAACCGTAATACTCCCGTAAATCGAACCATACTTAATAACCACGTTGAAGTCAATAAGGTCCTAAACGAGTAAGATGGAAGGGTTTTGAGTGTGGCCTGTTGTGCGTCTAGTTGGGGTAGTATGACATTTCGTATGAGATTTTTAAACAAACATCGTATGAGATTTTGTAAAGAGCAATAGAACAATTGAAATATTTTGATTTTAACTTTTAAGACAGATATATAAAAGAGGCAATGGAAAGTGATAGACTGGAATAAAAAATGTTATACACTTGGACAGTCAAACAAAAAAAAAATACAAGAAAGTGAAAATGAAAGATTACTTGACAATTTGACTTACCAAAAGCACCAAAACTTAACCGTTACATTTAATTTTTAATTTTCAACGAGAAACAAACAAATTAAGAGAGTTTTCTATAACAAAATAACTTCTTACAACTTTTTTATACATCAAAATTCTCTAATAGACTAATAATTATACGAGATAGCCACATTTGAGTATTAAAATAATAAATATGAATTCGGTCAATTTACGACTAAATACACCTAACAAACAAATTTAAGAACTAGGTTCAATAAATTTGCAATTCGAATTAGCTTCCTAAGATCTTATAAGATCCAGATTATGATTCATTATCTTATCAATTTAAGATTCTATAAACGACTCAGGATCTATTTGTCTACATTGCATCACAAGATCTTAAGATCCGAATCGAGATTTTGACAACCAAGACTTATATCAGTGAAATAAATAAATAAATAGAACTAATAACTAATTGGTTGTTTTGCAAATTGGAAAAAAAAAACCGTAAAATTAAACCACGTGTTTATGGTAAAATAAGGAACAAGTTAGAAACGATAGTTACAGTTGAATAAAGCCACACATGCAAACCAACGACTAATGAAGCTCACCAAAGATTTCTTGGTCTCTATTATGATATTTCAACTGATAGCCATAATATATAGTGAGTAACTAGAGGCAGAAACTAAATAACCCTAGCCACCAACGAGAGAGAGAGAGACCTAGTTCCAACGCTAGCTAGGAAAGAATACACAACAATTCCATAGTTCCACTATTAACCTAGAAGATATACTTATCTGGAGGTGCTTCTTCTGGAATCTGAAACGAGCAAAAAAATTGAAGTTAGACATAAGACTTCCCATTTTTAAAACACTCTGCCAAATGGTTTGGAAATAAGGTTTGAAATAGCAAACACCGAATAAGATACTCAAAATTCTCAATATTTTTATGCACTTCGAACAAATACTGCCAGGGTTCTAGATGTTGTGAAAATGTTTTTTGAATTTGAAAAAAAAAAAAAAAAAAAAAAAAAAAAGGTTAAGAAAGATAAGGAGGAAAGATTTAGAATGAGAGTAGGTCTCCAGAATCAGATTCTCAAATGATATGTTTCGAGCACACGAGTCAGACGAAAGGAGTGACTCATGGACCTTCCAGCCCCTCAAAGCAAGAAAACTAAGTACAAGGCAGCCCACATACAAGGTAGGGCTCAGTCCTCACCTCTCCAGGATTCCACACTTCTTTCAACCAAATACTATTATCACCAGCATCACTCTCCCTCGGCATGTTATTCCTACAGGAGGAGGACGAGTCAAAAAGTATTCATATGAAAACAATCAACGGGTAAAAAAACACAAATTCCAAGAAGCACAGATCATTTTGAGAATTACATTCATGCAAAGAATACATAGAAAAAATTGCTGAAATGACTCAAGTTCCTGTGTTCTTCCAATCCCCCTTTCTTTCTAATCTATCTTTTAAGATTCATCGTCATCTTCCGGCTACTGCATTCCAACAGTTGGATGTTGAACTCCTGTAATCCAGTTTAAGCCAGGGAGAATATGAAGACCCTAGTGAAAGGTTGAAGGCACTACTTTTTGGATCCAGAGTCATCTCACGTCCTACTTGAATATACAAGCCGGTCAGCCATTCGTATCACTACATTGGACTCTGCCTTCACTTTACCCCTAGCATGAGTCCTTTTTTTTTTCAATTTAAAGCTGCTTGGCAAGGGCTGAACCTTCAATTGTTCCTATGAGGCTTCCAATCCATGTTCCACTCTTTATTTTCCAAGACTACTACCTTGGATCTTGTGCTACCATAGTCAGCGAAGTGTTGTTAATCTATGCTCAGAACCCAGGCTTCCTTGTTTCTAGGAGGGTGTTTGAAAGTTGAATCAATTTCAAGGAAAGCCCAGAGGAATTAGAGACAAAACAGTAATATGACACAATAAGCTTCGATTTTGCAGCAGATAGGACCCTACTAGTTGAATGGTGGAGAAGGAACAATGTGGAGGACCAACACATGCTCTCCAAGAGGCTAATGTGAAGATTTGGATCCACAAATGAATTGCACTTGGCTGAGCAAGCAATTGTAGCTCAAAAACAACACATGTAGGGTAATTCTTGGTTGCATGGTTCTGCACTAGAGGACCCCAGGTTGGTTTCCCTACCAGCCACCTGGGGTCAAGTAACCTTTGGGCAAGCACCTTTCTTGCCACCATAGGGGGTGCCAAACTGAATTCAGGGTCGAGGAATGATAACCTATCGGATGACTTCAAACTTCAAGATATCATTATTTAGCCCTCCCAATTCTTAAACAAAAGACAGAGTTGAATTGACCAAAGCTAAGAAGCATGTATTGTGATACGGGACACAAATACGACACGACACAGACATGCCTACACAAAATTTTTCAAAAAAGTAGGACACAAATACAGTAGCGATACATTAAAAAATATGTATTATATATATATAGAGAGAGAGATAAAATCATGTGATAAAATAAAAATATTATCATAATAATCTTTTAATTTATCATTTTCCTAATTCTAAAAATTCACATCATGATGTCACTGCATAGTACAATATAAGATATAATAATACACATTCAGCATTAACATCCATGATTCAATAATTAACGACTTCTATAACTTTTACTTTAAAAAATATTTTATTTCATAATACTAATTTTTATTAAATTCCAAGAGCTCCAATTTTGTAATCCCATTTTTTATCACATTACTTTCATATTAAAAGACTATTCTATTTATATATAAGTTCGTATTCGTATCCAAAATTATGTTAAATTCATGTCTTATGTTCAATGTAATGATTATAATTTTTTTTATACTATGATTGTGACTCATATCCCTTTAAAATTATAAAAATAACTATTAATTATAAAATTATCTAAAAAGTTCTCAAAAAATTGAAAATAAATCTCAAAACGTGTCCCCCAGTGTGTCTCAACGTGTCCTGAACGTATCGGCCACGCGTCCCCAACGTGTCCTAAAAAAATTTTAACAACAAAAAAATCGAACGCTTATTTTAACGTGTCTGACACTTGTCCGAGCATGTCCGAAGCGTACCCGTGTCCCAGACATGTCTGATACCGATACTCTGCCCAAAATGAAGTGTTCGTGCTTCCTAGGACCACAGGTCTTTATAATTGCAAGCATATGTCTCATAATATATGGGACTTACATAGAGTTGACATTGACAGTTGATTGTGCAACAGCATTAGAGGCAGAATCAGGGCCAGCTGCAGAACGAAATGGATTCTCAGCACTTGTGACACTGCTGCCGAAGCTTGCTGGGCCAAAGGTAAAGGAGCTTCCATGTGACTGGGTTTGGCTGCCAAAGGAGCCTACCATGTAATTAATTGGGTCAGAGGAAATGCTCAAACATATGCACATTGTATAACACGAGAGATTAGAATTTAGAATGGCACCTGTATTTCCAAATGAAAAGTTACTGGTCCCAAACACATTTGATGGCTGACCGAAATTTTGAGACGGCTTTGGGTGCCCAAATGCATTATTTGGTTGCCCAAAGACATTATTTGGTTGCCCAAATGCATTATTTGGTAGAGCAGCAGGCCTGGACAGGAGGGGCAAAAAATGGAGGCCAGATATTTAGTAAGGTAAAAAAATTAGGCTGGACAATGGAAAAAGTCAGGTGTTACCAGGAGATCTTGCCTCACTGCAAACCCTGTATTTAAAGATGCACCCAGTTGGCTGAAACTTGAGACTGAAGGAGGTCCATTAGTTTGTGCAGCTTGCTGGGATGAATTTGGATTTGCTCCTGGAAAGCTTTGTCTAGCGAGAGTAGAATTTGATGGAACTGTGTAAGGATTACGAAGTAGTCTTTCAAATTCAAGCAACTTGGAATTAAGTAAGCTCCTCTCTCTCTGAACCTGTATCAAGATGAGCTCATTCAGCAGGTTGGAAAAGAAAGCATCTCCGATTAAAAATTCTCATGACTACCTATGTCACAAAAATTGGATGCAGGTATTGATGCAAACTTTTGGACCCTCAACAAAAGGTAGCCTCCTTTCATGGCTTAAGCCTTGCTCCTACCACCAATTAGATTAAACTCCTGATGCACAATTTAAGAATCACCCTCTACCAAAACCAGATCAATCTAAACAAAATAAGAGTGAAAAATGTTCCTTTACTAATCCTTATAAACTTCTTTAACAAAAACCCCATCGCTTCCAGTGAGTCCAGCCAGCAAAGTGATCACTAAATAACCAAAAATTAAGGAAGCTGTGCATATCCTCCTTCTAGTTAATATGTAAAGAACTATCCTCCATAGTGTACCTTTGTAAAGGCTACTTTCACCAGCAGAGATAGAATGAAAACATTTCAAATAGAATTCACCTACCTAGACTTGTCAATGGATTGGATCTGGTAAAAAATATCCAAAACTCCAAAGTCTATCCAAGTTCAAAGAAGAATTAAAAAGTTAGGATCTGACGTTAGAATTTATTTTATGCTTTATAACATATGAGCTGAAAATTTATTGCGTAAATTCTCTTAAAATGGATGCAAAACATAATATTTTGTGTAAACTTTTTTTTTTTTTTTTTAATTAGTCATATTAGATGATGTAGATGACTTGAATTTGTATTTTAATCTGAACACGACTGCATATGAGTTCGGTTGGTTGTTAAGCAAATCCATTTAATCGAATTTGGATTCAAATAGATGTACTTTATCATGTATCATTATAGACATATGTATTAACCATTAGTTAATACTTTTTGAACTGCATCATGTGCAGCTTATCACATACAAACAAAGCAAGAAGGTACAAGAGGTAATCATCTTACAATTAAATCCAGGCTCAAACCACGCTTAGCATCATCGTATGCTGTTGCCCGCAATTCTTCGTAGCTAATATCGCCAACAATGTCACAAGGACCACTGCAAACAAGAGAACCTGCGACTTATGCCTGTCTCCAGGATCCACTATCATGATACCAAAGTAATGCAGAATATCGGCGAAGAATATTCGAAGAGAAAAGGGCTCAAAAAATTATTCATCCCTCTCCTAATAAGATAATGGCATGGAGTTCAATATTCCCTTAATTGTTATATTTCACAAATGCATGTAATATGGTGAGTTGTGATTGATAGTCAATAATTTGCTTGGCTCCCACGTACTTTGACTACACAGCATTTTTTTTTCTTACATAGCTTAGAAGGCAACACATTTTATGAATAAATAAAGCGCCCCACAAAGTCAATTAGAACCTAGACCCAAAGAAAAGATGATCAGTTTACCATAAACCACATCCAACAATAGCTTAAAATGAATTCGGTAATGTATTTTACACCATTTTCATTTGGGAAACAATAAAATGAAGAACAAGAAAAGATTAACATCAGAAGACTAATAATAAAAGTGCAGAAAATCTGCCATCTATGTGCTGATCCTTGTGTCTTCCAACAATACTATATTCAGTGATATGGCAGGGTGTCACAATCGGCATCCTTGATGCATTCTAACATTATACATATAAATTGCATCATGGGGTGTGATCCATGTAACAAAGTAGCCATCTGAAACAAAATCAAATGCCACCCCCTGGATGAATTCTGTCCAGTGCTTACGAATTTTTTATTTCAGACAAAAGAAAATGACGAATAACAGAAGACTAACATCAGACAAGGTTCCAATTCTTATATGCACCATATTCAGACTTGTTGAGTAATCCAATACTGGTCTGAAAAATCATATCAACTATCCCACTAAAACTGACCCTTGAAGTTTCATACCAACTTAAGTACATTGTTTTCCTCGCTATACCAAGTCATCTTTGTCTAGAGCAAGTATAAAATTCCAATTTTGTCCAAACGTGAGAGACAAGATGACTAGAACATACTTTTTACGGTGACCATAACAAGTAAGCTTCCAAAGCGGTCTCTCATGCTCGAAGTCTTCCTTAATTTGGCTTTTGCATGACTCAGGATCCACGCAACTGCACATGCACCAAAAAAAGTCATAAACTAACGTACTTGGTCACAAAAAAGATGAAAAGCAAGTGCAAAACTTTAAAAGTGCCAACAGATAGAAAAATTTAACAGACCAGGCACTTACTTATGATTAGGTGCTGAAGGCTGATTATCTGGTTGTCGCAATGCAGAGGAACTACCATTATTGATGGGGGAGAAACGAGTCCATTTATTTTCAAAAGGCTGACACACAAGAAAATCATTGTAAAAAACAATAACAAAAATATTGACATATGCCTCGGTAGCAATGGACACCACAACTCCTTCTTAAGTCAAAGAAATCACAAAACTGCAAACAGAAAAATTTTCTTCAGTGACATTTTACTAGATGACAAATCACAACAACTTTATTATAGGTAGCAAAAAAAATTAGGAGTGCAAAGAACCTTGAATTGGTTCTGTTTGGATCCAAAATCACCGGACCCTCTTGATTGAGAGTTGTTCTGAACACCAAACCCAAAAGGACTGGGCTTTTGCTGTTGTAAATTTGGGCGCTCGAGCTGAGTGCCATTTTGCATGCCAAATCCAAATGAATTAGATTTTGGCTGTTGAGAGGTCACATGAAGAAACTTACATTGTTCACCATACTGACAGCTGGAAGAGATGACAGAAAATTGGATCACAATGATGATGATTTATAAGAAAACAGCAACAAGACACAATTTTAGATTCAAAAAATAATGAGTCCAAAGAAAAAAATCTGCAAGCCCAATACATCAGGTCAGTGGGACACTATCAGAGTAAAATTAAGGGAAAGAATAAAACCAATTATATCAACATTACAACAAATATCCATATCGAAAAGGAGAATTAGAATCTTATTAAGTTGGGTATACAAAGGATGGAAGGAGTGAAGGACAAGATATCCCTTCCACAGGGAAAAAAGATGCAAGTTCACAAAAATAAAACAAACCAAACGTACCAGCTGAAGTCAGTAATAGATAGGTCATATAAACAACTGTACAGTGAGAGTCCCTCTTTATGCCAAAAATATCAGCCTGCTTATTAGCGGACCTATTAATCAACTTATCCCACCCAAATATATGCATAAAAAATAGATGATGTACAGCCAAAGGTTTTAGGTAGTAAATCACCAGGTGATATGATCATTTCAATCAAAATTGCCAAAACTACTTGGCAGAACATCCCTAACTCATTCCTCCAGAACTAAAATTTCCACTATCATTCATAACTTGTTGCAATCAAGAAGTTATGAATCCCCCAGCTCCCCTGGATTACAAAATAGAAATCAATAAAATTCAGATGTGATTAGTCTGCTGAGACAAGGCTTCCGAGCTCCTAATATAACCCTTTTCAATAGAGGTGACACAAACATCAACACATATAGTAATGGGCAAAGCATTAAGATCCAGAAAGCATAACTTTTTCTTCTTCAAATTACTCGTAAGAGTCTAATAGCTAACTTTAATGATGCACCAGAGGAAATTGTATTTGATAAAATAAGATAGGTTTCATAAGAAAAGAGTCAGAAGAACTGAAACAGAATATAAGAAAGGGGAGGAGGCATCGTCGCTCAAATAGAAAAACAAAATAAGCCAAACTGAGAATTTGTAATATGCTAATAAATTTGATCAACTATTAGACAAAAATCCCATTTGAGTATTTTAAATGATGATGATTATGCCATCCAGATGAGATCATAAATCTCACTACAAGCATAAAAATTTCCAAACCCCTAACAAGTAATGATTTGATGAAATGGAAAGAACATAAGAGTAGCCTTCTCAATAATAAATCCAAGTCCCCTTCTCAAACTTCTTCATGTTCCTTTGACCCTAAGAAACACGGATACGGTATAATATAAATATGGATACGGCGATTCGATAAACCCTGAAAAATAGTATACGAACACAACTACAATACGTCTATAAAAAATATATTTTATATTTTAATATTATTTAACAACTTAAAATTATAATTTTTAATAATAATTTAACAATAGTAAACAAAATTACCAATTTTCACCTTGAAAAACACATAATATCGTCCCATAATAATATATCTATAAAGTGAATGGACCAATTAAAAGAATCAAAACCAACATTTAATTTGTTGGTTTATTTACAAGTATTTATTTCTAAGATTATAGTGTAACTAATTCATTTTTTAATAATCTTTTGACATGTAATAATAGATATACTTAGAAAACACTTGTTTCTTCAAAATAAAATGGAATTTTATTAATGTTTTGTATTGTATGTGAGAGGATATAGATTACATTAAGGAATGAAGAGTCCTAATAGTACAATCTTCACCTCAATAAAAAACAGAGAAATCCGAAGTAGGCCACAAATATTACTGATCATGATAAGTGGCAGGCTGGCAGCATTATCCAAGTTCACAAGAGGTGCTATAAGGATCCTTCTAAGGCCCCAAGCCTGAATTTGGTATATTTTGGATGATGCAAGCCCCACTTGGGAAGAATTAGCCTCAAGTATAATTGGGTCATAAGTTATGTTCGTTTAAGTTAACACTTCTCTAGGTCAGTTTTACATATGTTTATTGTGTTTTAAAAATCAAAGGTACTTCTGAATTTTATATTTTCCAGGACATGAGTGTTAGTAGAAGTCCATAAGACCTATTTTAGGCCATGCTACATATTAGGTTCGCAGTTTTTAGGCTTATAAGGGTTCCAATAATCAAAGTGTAATGTTTCCAAAGTTCAAGTCACAGTCTTGGTGGGGGAGATCTATAGGAGCCTATATATGCATCTACTCTTTCACGAGTAATGAACATCGACAGAATTTGAAGACTCTTTAGGTTTGTATCACACCTAGTTGATTCTTCGAGTGGTCCATAGATTTCTCCTCCTTCCTCTTCTTTTTTCTATTTTCTGCAATTGATTACCTGCTAACAAGCCTAATTTAACACTCATTCAATACCTAAAACCCTAATTCCCACAAATCCAACCCTCACGTTCAACAATTCGTCAATCCATTCCAAGCCACTTTTAAAACCCTAAAACCAAATTTTACTACTCACTGACTAATATTCACATTCCTAGAACTGTCTATGTTGCCACCAAAACCCTCTTTCTAGGTCCACACACTCCAAATTCACAACTTCACAGGTGCACCGTGCGCCCTCAAAATGTTAAATTTTCATTTTTCTGCATTTTGATACAAGTTAAAATTGAAAAACATGTAAAAAATTTTGTAGTTTGTTTTTTGGGTCAATGTACTCGGGGGTGATTCCTAGTCAAGCAAGGCAATCTATTTTGTCTACAACCTGATGGAAAGTGAAACTATGAAGGCCATCTGTGTGCATAACTATATGAATTTGATCAGGACTGAGGGTAAGGATCACTTAAATTATATATCAAACAATTCCATCATTTCACGATCATAAGGGCAGGAAAAAATAACAATGGGATCATTCAACATATGATCAGCCCATCATAGTTTGTTAGGGTTCTTCAAGGACAAATTCTTTCAATTTGCAGGGGGCAAAGAAAAAAGAGAACAATAGAGTATATCTCAAGTAAGGATCAAAATGTCGTTTCGAAACGGTTGAAACATCCGAATCATTTATGTTTCCAAGGAAACCGAAACAAATTGGTGATGGAATCGAAATTCTAATACTTCAAAGTGTTCCATAATGTTTTGAAATATTTTGTTATATTTCAATACATTTGCACAATTATTTCAGAATGTTTCAAGGTATTTCAAGATATTTTAGTATATTTCAACCAATGTTTTGAAAAAATAACTCCTAAATGTTTACTTTTTTTCATTCTGTTTTCGAAACGGGTCGAAACGTTTCCGTTTTCTAGATTATCAAAACAATGCACAAACGAAATGTTGATCCTTGATCTCAAGTTTCAACCAAGTCATTGCAGTAACAAAGAAAACTTTATCTATGAATAAATTATGGTCTCTTTTTCCAATATGGAGAACAAAAAAAAAAAAACCAAATGGAATGTCATAATGGGTGCTTGATGTAAGAATTGAGAAGAGGGAGAAGATTATTAATAAATTCGAGAGAAAGGAGAAGATTATTGATAAAATTAGCATACCTGCCACGCTGAAAATTCCTGCAGAGTGCTTTCTTTGGAGGCATCTTTGCTCGCTCTTTCACTTCTACTCGAACTGCCTACAGCTTTACACAATCCAAAGACTTTCCTCAGTCTATTTTTTATGACTGCAAGCAAATCAGTGTCAACTGGATATTAAGTTTGAAATGCTACAGAATGTCAAACAGAGCAAAAAATAATTATGGAGTATCAAACCAATAATCAGTGTCTCAAATTGTTAAGTGGTGAACTTTGGACCAATAAACCAGTTGCTGCAGCTGTTGAAGTCGCAATATGACGAACCTGCACATTAAAGAAAGAAATGCCAGAAGATTAAATTCAATTCCAAGAATCAGTCCCAAACAAAACATATAGAAACAGGCATTGCAGCCAATGCACTAGAAACAACAGTATCAAAAAATCTCAAAACAAATTAATTTATAGAAAATAATAGCAAAGTATGATATCAATACCATCAGACTAGCAAGGAGAAGCTTCTGAATCAATAGAGAATCAGCATTTTGCAAAACCAGTCAAAAGATTTAAACTGCTTCGCCAATGAAAACATGTATTTCACCACAATGACACAACAATAGTACGAAAATTGGCATCTGATTAATGAAGCAAAAAAAAAAAAAATTAATTTCCTAACCCATTGTATTTGCATTATATACAATTTATATGGACCAAAAAACTACACAAATGTTTGTGAACAACATAATTTCAACAATGACGGTATGAAAAATATTATATGGTTCACTTCAAACTAATAACCTTATAATTAACCAGACTAAAAGACAAACAGTAGAAGATAAAATAGTGGTGGATGTACCTCGCCAAATATGCCAGGTACAGTTTTATTTCATACAGAGCTGTAATGAATTGAATAAAGTCCTCGGACCATATTCCTCTGTTTAACTTCTTCTTGCTTCCCAATGTCAAGTGAATTATTCATAATCCTATCATCTGATTGATTGATTTTGCTGCTCAATGAATCGCTAACTTTGTAAGAAGCAAAGTAGAGCACAAGCATGAACTCCAGAACAATGAATTCCTTTATTTCCTTGTTTATTATTACGTCAGCCACAGATAACAATATCTTCAACAAACGAACAAAGAAGCTAGCGATCTCGGAAACTCATGTAGACAGAATCAAGATTCCTCAGACGACAACCTTCGTCTTCTGATGAGAGTATGTTCTGTATTGAGAAAATTGAATTTTATTCCCAAATTTATTTTAATGCATATCGTAATTTGGTGCGCAATTTCATTTTCTTGGAAGGTATTAGGCCACAATCTTACTCTGTTATGCACTCACTATTTCTCAACAATGAAACATAGGCATTCCAGAAGTTTATATCAGTTTCTATCTAAGTTAAAAAGAACAAAGAAAAATCAAAATTGCATACACTTCTAAATGATCCAAAAAAACCCATCAGAAAATTGAACTTTATATAGACTGTAAATTACTTATGATCGGCATAAAAAGTCAGAAAGGTTCCCTAAGCTTCCCCGTAATCTCGCCCCGCATTTAAAATAGCAAAATTCCCGGATTTGATTATAA